TTGGCATTGCACACAACCAGCAACGGAAAGGACCCAGAGAGAGATGTACCAGCCCCAGGGGTGGTTGTCACAGTGTTATATAGTTTATATGTAAGTTTGTTATCACATGTTATCAGTTGTAATGTCTTTATAAGATCTAATAGAAAAGTAAAAGAAAAACAAATTCAGAACAAGAATGAACAACTTTGGCGCACATGCTCTTTGACTGACCTACCAAGGCCAATTTCTGAAATGTGGACAAAAAAATAGAAAAAATGAAAACAATTTCTAAAATTAATTTAAATTAACTAAATAGTTATTATTAGGCTTGCTATATTTAATATTGCTTCTACCATATTAAAAATACAATTCATCTCAAATTTTTGGAGAGGCCTTTGGGGATGTACCCAAGATTTTGTGGAGGTTGCAGGTTTTACATCAGCAATCTATCTCCATCTGAAGTTTGACTATGCCACTTGAATTCTTGTAACATAGGCCAAGATTCAGATACAGCCCCAGAATCTATGGAACTTTGTAGATTACAGATGATAGTGTCTGGATATATTACTAAATGTGTTGGCTGAAGGGAATATGATGCCATATCACAATTTTAGACACTATTCTGAGGCATCAATGTATCTCTTTCTAGCAGAACCTCTGAAAAGAAAAAAGAAAATAGTAATGCAGTTTCCTTACCATCTGTGTGGACTCCCACAATCAGATAATCTCCCATTGCACGAGCTTGTCGCAACTGGTTGGAGTGTCCATAATGTACCATATCATAGCTACAAAGAAACAAACAAAACAATACAAAAAATAACAAAGAAACCTCTGTAAAGAGTTTGGCATGTTAATGCTTGTTTTCACAAGATTCCGCCATTAGCATGCAAAGAACTTCAATCACAGTCCCACTAAACAAAGTTTTCTCAGCTGTACCATCAATATTGCTTATTAGTGGTGTCTACAGGATTGGAAGCTTTCATCATCTGTCCCTTCTGTACAATGTCAAGAAGCACATACAAAAGGGGTGGAGCTTGCATTACAATGGTGAAGCTCTTTCATCACTTCCTCTTCTTTGCTCCCCTTACCTCACCTGACTACTCACAAGCAGCAAAGTGTAAATTTATTTCTGGTTATATTACTGGACATACTACTGTTTTTTCTGTTATTTTCATTCCTCTACACTTCAAATTCTGATTTCAGTTGTAGCATCTATAATATTACATTCTATTACCTGATAAGTGGAAAGTATATTATCAATGCATGTAGATACTTTTACAGTATTCCTAAAGAGTCACAAGTAAAAAGTTCAAATACGTTTTGATCTTGATAATATTTTTCTGACCTGAAAGGAAAACTAAAATGGTGATAGTTGCAGAAATTCTTGTTCCCTCTGCTGCATCAGTAATATATTGAACTGATGTGCGTGCATTAGAGGGGGGATGGGCATATGAATATTCAGTCTCCTGATTCAGATCAGTAAAGAAAGAGCAGAGTGAATGGGAAACAGGCCTCACAAGAAAAACTATTTAAATCCAACCCCGTTTTCAGCTATCAGGAATTCTGAGAAAAGAAAACAAAGAAAAAAAGTCTTTCTAAACTGTTTATAGGATCCAGGTATTAATCCTTCATTCAGACAAGAATAAAAATAGAATTTGATCTATATTGTGTTCACAAAATACTTAATGTCATAAGTGTATGTCTTGAAGAACCTTTCAAACTTAATATACATTGGACTCATTCCTTGTAATTGGATGTTCATAAAATTCTTTCTGGCAATTTTACCTGATTTGGCTATTGCCTCTTTTTAAGCTTTGTTAATATAAATATTGCCTAGTTTTTGCCTCTCTTCTGTTTTCCATCTGTCAAGGAATCTGAGTGTCTTAGCTAAGGATGGAAATGGGTTGGACTTTATATTTTCAAAACTGGGAAAGTAAGATTGATGGCATATTTCTTAAGCCCAACCATCTTTGGGAGATTGCTGGGTACAACTTAAATCAGATTTGTATCAGACAGAATCCAATTTACATATCCACAGTCTATTACTCCCAAATTCCATCTAAGCTTAACTGATAAAAATGCATCTTGAACCCCAGTTACATTTATATCTCCTGTACATTTTTCTGTTTTTAAAACTTCCCTAATGAAAGTTCTTGAAACTAGAAGATTTGCACACTTTTTTGGTCATCTTAAAATTCACCTCAAACAAAATCTGAGTTTCCACAATTATATTTCTATTACGATTTGGTGCAGCTTCTCTGGCTGATAATGATTAGAAAGGGAAAACGAAGGGGAAAAGGTGAAATAAATAAATGTGCTGTTAAGGTAATTAATACAGAATACCTTATTTTGCTAAGAACAACAGGTTATCTTTTTTTCAAGCTAAAAAACAAAAGTGTGTAAATGGAAAGATGGATTACACATTAATAAAATGAGAATACAGTTTCAGGAGAACTTCAATCCTTCAGGTTTCATTTGGCTGTAGCCCAGATGTTGGCAAATGCCAAGCAGTTTTTAATGGGGCCCACAGCTATCATATTACAATTCAGAATGAACCTTGGTGCCAGCATTCCCAGGGGTTATCTTCCAGGAGTCATATGGCTTTAAATCCAGTTTTTATGACAACATCTGGAACAGTTCCAGGTCCACTTGTCCCCTTCCTCTGTAACCGAACTGGGATATTGCTGATATTAGCATTTGCAGTTTAAAAATGCACTCAGAAAAAAAATTACAGGATGTTAGACTCACTGAGGTACATGGCGATAATAAATACATATTCTATGATAATCTCATTGCCAAATATAGTATTTTCTCTCATCTTCCTGATACGACTGATGCTGTTGATTACTTCCTCTTGACTGATTCCATTTTGTTCATTCATTGGCATGCTCTCAACTAGTTTGTTTCCTTTCTAACTTTTTCACCAAAGTGGAAAGGTCTCTCAGACATCTGTCTAGCTTGGCTCAATATTTTTTTTCCTACATATTTTCACTTCATCTCTGAACTCCACAGGATACTTCACTGAAAACAGGTAAATTGCTTGAATATCCCTAGATTTACTATTGTGATTTCAACTTGCTGGTACCTCCAATATATCACTTTTGCCTTCAAATGGCACTCTACTGTTGACTGTTTATAACTTTAACTATTTCCCTTATGGTGTGTTCAGGCAATAAATACTGAGTGGCCTGTCTTATTCTTTTCTTTTTTCTTTCACAAAAATAAAGGAAATTCAAAGTCTCATGCTGCTGCTGCTGCTAAGAAACTCCATGGCTGGTGATTCTCTTTATACATTTGTTGTTTCAAGCATTCCAACAGTAGTTATCTGCACAAGTCCAACTGTGATATATTGCTGTCCCTCAAATTAAGTGACTCCTGGAAACTACTGGCACACACTCATGTTTTCATGACAACAATGCAGAAGTTGATTACTAGATTTTTTTTTTAACTTTCCAATCTAGCTTATAGTCCTGAGAATTCTTCAATGTTTCCAATCAAGAATTAACCAGATCTGACTCTCTTTACCTTTCTCAAGTTCAGTCAAGATTGGACAGGTGCTGCCACCATAATGCTAATATGGGTAACAAATGATGATTATGAGCCTAAGATCAGCGAGAAATAAATGGCTGTTCAGATGATTCAGAGTGAAATTGAGACTGATAAGATCAGAGCATCCCAAGAAATCATGTCAGGGAATACTGAATACTTCTCCACCAAGGGCTTTATAATGATGCTAAGAGGTCTACTTTGCTAGGATTGTGTTATAAGCTACTACAAAGCAAAACAAAACAACCCACCCTCCACAAATAAAAATTAAAATATTACTTTCAGAGACAGCAAATATGGTGGAAGCAATTCCAGAGTTCAGTGTGATCATGGAGATAACATTGAATGGGTGAAAACACAATAACTATCACTCTACTTAACTGTAAGCAACTACTGAATAATTCAATGAATTATGACCTGATTCAGCCTTCCCAAATGTAGTACTCTCCACACTTAATTATCACTTGTGTATAATGGAACTTGTTGTCCAACACTCTCTATGGTACTAAACTGATGAAACTGGCTGAGTTATCTAGACATAAAGCAGGCTACAAATCTGATAAGTAACTGAAGAATATAATGAATAGCTTGTTTAAGTTACTGCTGTACCTTATATCCAAATGGAAGCAAATAATTCTATTCAAACAGTATTTAAATAGAAATCAGATTTTGTCTATTGATTAAGAATTTCAATATCAATCAGGAAGGCAACAGAAATAAAAGAGAATCGTTTTGAAACTGGCTCATAGTCTTCATGTTACAAAGGTAGCTATAGAAATTGCAATAATATAAAATATGTTGAATTCCAACGTTCATGTTCTTGACTTTATGTATGTTGACAAAAAAGTAACAGGAAATACAATTCTGGGAGAGCAATATTACTTCTTGCAGTGGTTTACAATTATTACATTATCCCTACCCATTTACAAATACAATTTAGCCCCCTTAAATTTTACCCATGGCAATAAGAGTTAATTTAGGCAGTGGTAATAAATGTGAGTAGCTATAAGCAAATACTGTTTTGTGGCTAAAATGGAAGCTTCCCAGAACATTAAATAATCTCAAAGTATGTCTTTGTGGGCAATTCATGCTTATAAGCCTATTTAAATTCCAAAGTCCTTTTGACATAGTACAGAGAAGAGTACACTCAGTCCTTTCACATGGGTTAATTTGTTTATTACAGGCTGCCTGCTTCAGGAACAAGACAATCAGAGGAAAAAAAGAGAAGAAAGAGAAATCAACAAGAACGGATTATTCACAGCTACCCACCTACCACTGGAACTGCTGCCAAGAGCCTGTGGGATTGGTAGCCTTGAAGTCAGCCCATCTCAAAAACTCAGTTGATGCAAATTGCCAGTCTATTATTTTTTACTACTTGCACACACATGCCCAGGCACATTACAAATCCTGTCCTAATAAGCACTTCTGGCAGACAGAAATCTCAAGCATCCCTAAATGAAGTGGTGCCAAAGACTCCACCAAAAATGCTGAAGAGGTCAAGCAGTTCTTGCCAAAACCTGAAATTTCAGATGAGCCTACAGCAAACTCTTCCGGGCTTCAACACTATACCACACAGCACCCCCCCCCGCCCCCCCCATCATAGCTTTGCGGTAAATTTAGCTCTAGTTGGCTCTCCAGATCTAGGCGCCCTACAACTCTGACAGCAAAAGACACCCAGGCTTGCATGAACGAGCACCTAATGGGAAGGAAATACTCCCGGCCAGAAAGCCTTGCGGGGAGCAGCACGGTAGTCAGGCGCGGGGCTGCAGGGGAACACCAGAGAGGAGCCATTCAACAGAAGGCAGAAGCGTGAGGGGCGTTGCCATGGGGACCCATTTCGGAGCGGCAGCTACTCAACGCCGTGGCGAAGGGACGCCTCGGCAGCGGTTGCCATAGAAATGCCAAGAGAAGCCTCACAACTACAGGGTCCATCTCTCCGGACGGACACTCACCATCCATCGCACCAGACGCGCACAGGCCGGGCGGCGGCACTGAACGAGGAGGCGCCTCCGGCAGCGCCGTTCCGCAGCATCTTGAGCTGGCGAGGGCGGAACGACCAGCCGCCGTCCTGCCCCCGCCGCTGTCACTGGTCAGGCCCTCCCCGCCACGTGATCAGGGAGGAGCCGGAGCTGCCGAAAGCGCCGCCACGCGACGGCGGGTTCTTTACGTCCCTCAGGGCCCGCCCCCTTCAAAAGCCGCTCGGCTTGAAGGGAGGCCCTCGGCTCTCTCGTCCGAGGCCCTGGGCGGACATCGGGGCTGCTGAGCTGGCGCCTGATCGCTTGGGGCTGAAGATATTCGTGGTTTTCTGCCGTCCGCGCCGCAACTTATTGGAAGACGGGGAATTTCCGTCAACATTATTTCACTCTTCTACTGCATGTGGCTTTTTGATGACATAACTTTCTTGCAGAATTATACCCTTTTGCACAATTGTTACACTTAGCAACTATTCAGGTTTCAATGGTAGTTGAGTCACCTCCATGGTGCATAAAAATATATCCTAAAAAGTGAAAAAGCTAGCATATATACAGATCTGCAACAGCACATTTCCCACCAATATACTATTTCCAGTTCTAATTTAGGAATAGAGTTCTGCTCAGAGGCAGCATTTATATAGAAATAAGCATCGCTAACTGAAATGAGTGCTGGAATACAGCATCTACACCAAAACCAAAAAAGGCGTACTCAAATAACAACCACCAGCAGCCATTTATAATAATTTTATTAATAATTGTTAATAATTGGCAGCCCTGAGTATTAAATGCCAACCTTCCCTTAGACAGCAGAAACCAAGCCAGGCTTTGGTCCTTGTAAGCTAATTATAAAAAAATCTCTATGAAAATAGCAGCTGTGTTTTTTCCAGTTAGCCCAGCAATCCTGATCAACTCTAGTGCAGATGTAATTTCTTGCCCTGATTTTAGCAACTTTAGTTGGTCCCCAAGATTTTTTTTTTAAAAATCCATTATCAAGAATTTTTTTTCCTCTTCGTGCCTTTTGCACAGCCTCTGCCAAACCAGCCACCAGAGGGAGGATCTGGACGCATCTGCTGTTCCTCTCCCAGTTGCACTTCATGAAGACTTGCTGGTGGGGTCACGGGTTTCCGGCTATGACTGCATTCTTCTTCAGGTTGCAAAGGAACAGCCAGAGAAAAGATGGGGTCCTTCATTCTATAGACAAACATGATAATATGGTAATATTAATTTACCTGGCTACTTGTGAATTATATACTAAGTGCCTTGAACCAAACACACCAAGTAGAAGCTAAAATTTGGAACTACAAAGCAAAATATATTCCAGTGCAGCAGGATTTGGACCATACCATCTTCCTTACAACTTTGTGTGACACATTCTGCCCCCAGATAAATCAAAAGTAAATTAGATTACCAAGGGCATTTGCCAACTCATGACACTGAACAAGTTTGACACTGAACAAAAGTGACACTGAACAAGTTTGTTTCTCACTGACCTATCATAGGAAGGAATGGGAAGTTCCAGTTCATCCATCAACAACTTCATCACATCATCACATTTTCCATGAAGTTTTAGGGCTGCAAGATCATCCTTTGGTGTCCACTGCAAATACAACAGACTGAGGTTAGATTAGTGCAAGACTCAAAGCTAAAATGTGGTTGGTTTGTTTTGGTTCAGCATATTGTATAAGACCAACCAACTGGGTGCATTCAGTAAATCACTGGTTAGCATGCTGTGTGAACAATCAGCCTGAGACTGATATAACAATGCTACTCATCAGATTCAGACAGACCCAAGCCTTCATTCTTTGATTGCAAAAGGGCTGGTAACATATTTACCCCTTGTAAAAGAAATGGCACTTCAGTAGTTATTCAGTTGGAAACAAAAATACTTCCTCTTTAGTCTGAACACATGGCATAATAATAAAGTAATAAAATTACTTTTAAAAGTGGTAAGTCAAAATACAATGGGAAGCTTTTGGGATACTGAGAAAGAGACATGATTAGCTCATATTCCAAACCATCACTTCATTATCACTGGATAGAAATAGAGAAGCAAAACCAGCATTTAAAAGGAAACAAGTGTCTGAAGGTTATCAAAATAGGATGTACATTTATGAATACAGCTGAATGCTGTTCAGGTTCTGTTCACATTATGTTAGGAGCCATTATCATGGAAATCTTACCCTAAAGAAACACAAAACTGAGCAAACTATTGCTCCATGTAGCTATATATCATCTATTTTAACTGAAAAATCTTCAAAGGCACACACATCCCTTTCGCTCAAGAACAATTTACCATTCTTGGTAAAGTAGGAACAGAGTCTATGACCTGCATGCATTGCTCTGTGGTTCCTTATTAAAAACATATTAAAGCAAATGATGCTAGTACATGCATCTATATATTATGCTCTACTCATAAATGACAAGATTAAACTCACTTGGAGATTTACAATATAGAGTTTAGGGCGGTGTCTGGGTGGTTTGCTCATGCACCATAAATGTGGATACTTTTTCAAAACCTGTTGGGAAAAGGACAATAACACAAGCATCTGTTACTGCTAAAAGGTGAATGTAGCTTCTAGTTTTCAGATACATGACAACATGGTATGTCTAAATTCATATATGGAGACTGCCTCCAACGCATATTTGCAGATTTCCCAGAAAGTGAAAAGGAAAGCAGGGAGAGTAAGGACAGTCATTTGCTAATGATCTCATTATTCCAGGATTCTGTGTTACCAAGACATCTGCAGGACTTTTTTAGAAAAATTACTTCTGAATCAAGTAACATGCATAGGTGCAGTATTCCAAGAACAGATGGACAACACGCAATCTTTTGTTAGAACCCAAATCTATCTCCTATCTCAAATGCAAGGGGGAAATTATTTTAAAATCAGAATACCTGAAAAAAATGTTCTTACAAGTAGTGCCAGCTCCCACCAAAACTATAGCTCACAATGTAAGTCTATATAAGTTTAGTTTAAAAGTTATCCCATAATGTTTAACAGAGATTACCAATAGGAAAATATGTGTAGAACTACAGCCTGAGTTAGTGAAAAACTAAATATTTCCCAAGGTATCAGGGACTCTTCTCTTTAAATATGATACACCAAGGTCCATCATATTTAAAGGTGAGAAAGAAACTGAGCGAAAGAGCAGATTGGTTACCTTGTGGACCTACTTAGCAAGTGCCAGTTGTTGAGATTCTTATGAAGAACTTTGGATTCAAATTTGATATATCAGAATTCTGGAGATATAGTCCCCGCATATCTTGGGAAGGTATTGAGTTGGAGGAAAGCGATCTTAAGATGATTCACTACAGCTTTTATGTTCTTAAACATGAAAATATTCTCAGGTTCTATAACATATACATGAAACCGTATGTGTAAAAGATCCTAAATATGCACTTTAGCTTTGTAAAATAATAAATTAGTGTACCATGGAGCATTTATTAAAGTAGGCCATACCTACTTTAATGGAAGTTTTAACCACAGAGGGGATAGTACTTAAAAATTCCTTTCTGGTCTGTATCGAACTACATTGTCTGCTCAAAATGTTTCAAGCAGAGCATATTTACTTGATGCTCTTGGATACCCAGTTAAAGAAAAAGGGAGCAAAAGACCTCAGAAGAACAGTACTAATACAAGAAAAAACCCAAGCTTTTTCTACAGGGTTCAACTAACTCTGTTTTCTCAAACATTTTTAAGGGAACAATTTGAGAATCCTTTTCTTGATTTCTTTTTAATAGTACCAGTTACATGAAATTTTATTTCCAGGAAATAATAAATAGCAAACTATCAGTTACAGCATATTATTTTATTTGGAAACTACTAAATTACTGTTTGTTTTTTAATTCTAGGGGAAATTGTCTATTTTTCTTTTCAGATTTTATTTTAGGAGCTTGATTTCTTGCCCATGTCCAGTTATTTCACAAACCTGTATTCATTAACTTTTAACATATCTACCCACATATATATCATTGATATAAGGAAAAAGCTCAGCATATGATTTGATTGCTACTATATTAAGAAGAATCTACAAGGTTATATTGTGGGGTTAATATGAAGGCAGATGCTGCTTTCATCTCAACAACTTCTGTTTCTGCAAGCTAAATCTTGAAAACTATATAGTAAAGTCTCAATCAGTTGATCATTAATTTTCAATATTTTTCAAAAAGCTTTCTATATATAGTACAAAAGGATACATTATAAACCATAATACTATTGCATTAATGTGCAAAGAAGATATTTCTTTCATTTTACCTTCAAGCTAGACCCCAAGCAAAGGATCACATCTGCTTTGCTAGCAGCTTCTGTTGCTGCCTCCCAGTTCAAGGGTTGCTGTAAAATACCCTTCTCCCCAAAGTGTACAATTGTATCTCTCAGTTGTGCTCCACATTTATGGCATAATCTCCCAGTCTGGTGCCTGTGCAAGGCTGTGCGCTCTGTCACATCAAATACTCGCACATACTCACGATTGGGTATGCAAGATGTGCAAACCTAGTTTGGGATGGAATCATAGAATTTATTAGCATTTTTCTGCTACTATAATGCACCAAACCCCACTGTCTCCAAGTATTCACCTCTATATACATGTTTCCATGCAGCTCAGAAAGGGCTTCTCGAGGAAGTCCACTGCGCAAGTGAAGCCCATCACAGTTTTGAGATACTACATGCTTCACCTAAAAATAAAATAGGATGAAATTGGAAATAGCATCATAGATCATAAGAGAAGACATTTTCCTGTTTTTCTTTGTTGTTGTTCAATCACATTCAAGATACAATAGCAAAATTCTCATAATGCACAGAAAACGTTTTCCTCTTTTTCTCACTATAGGTAGTCATTGACTTATGACAGCAATTGGGACCACAATTTCCATCACTAAGTGATGCAGGTCGTAAATCACAACCACACTGCTTAGTGATGGCAATCCCTGCAATCCCCATTGCCACCATTAACTGAATCCCACAGTTATTAGGCAAGGCAACTTCCTGCTGGCTTCCCACACCCAAAGTCAGGGGGGAAGCTGGCAGAGAAGGTTGCAAATGGCAATCACGTGATCGTGGGGCGCTGCAATCGATCATAAGTGCAAACCGGTTGCCAAGCACCCAGATAGCAATCATGTGACCATGGGGCTGCTGGGATGGATGGAACTCCAAGGACCAGTTGTAACCACCATTTGTTCAGTGCCATCATAACTTCGAATGGTGGTAGGGATGAGGCAGGGAAAGGAAAGCTAGAAAAACAAAGAGAGGGGAAGCATAGAATGCTGGGAATACCAGACCCTCTGCATGTCGGTTTGTACATCTGTGACTTAGACAGTGGCATCAACATATTCTATATGTGTTCTCTTTTACAAAAGCATCTAGAAACAATATACCAAATGTTGCACATACAATATGCAACAAACCTAAGAGCCTGCTGTAAGAATATGGCCCCAGAAATGCAGGACTGAAAATCAAGGAGCTTACCAGTTTGTGCTTGTGCAAACAAGCAATGCTCATGTGGGTAAGTGTGGGCTCTGCTTCACTCAGATCGGTAGCCCTGATACATAGGAGGAAAAGAAGTGTGATAAGCCACAACCAGGATTCCGGTGTAATATGAGAAATGTTTTTGAATTGATTACCTGATACTTCTCCCTTTTTGCAGCATTGTCCACACCCCATTTGGACCTCTGTAGTCAGGAATTGAAGCTGCCTATATTATAAGGAGTCACAAAGAAAAAGAAACTCCACTGGTTTAATTTCAATAATACATTGTCTTCCCTTTGTTTATAAGCATCTCCACCTATTACTTCCATGTCAACCTCTAAAGCACCTGCTAAATTGCTTCTTTGTACCAAGCATGTTGCCATCACCCAAAGATCAAAGCCATTCGTAGTACATTTACCCATCAGCTCAACCTGCATCCCTTAAATGTTTACCCTGAACAAAAGAACAAACAATTTCCATTTTACTGTAAAGTTACAGCTAAATAACACGCTGCTTTGGCCAACCATTCTGCACACAGAAGCTCAGCAGGGTCAGGCACAGTTTTGGCAAACCACTTTGATACTGTTGCCAAGGAAACGGTATAGATATGGCCATGAAGTCAAGATAAGTTGCACTTGACTCAAAGGAGGCTTTACACGGCAAGGGTATAGTTCATCTTTCTTTTCCATGTCCCAAAACCATTTGGACAAAATATTTATGCAACATACTAGGATGAGAAACTCCAGCCAGCCAGAGAACTCACTTCTACTTTCAAAGAGCATTTAGCTGTCTGCCAAACAGCTATTTTCTTCTCAAGAGCATACAAAAGCATGAGGTATTCACCCACTTTACACCTCTCCAGCCTCCTTTCTCTGTAGGGGACTACTTCTAGGGATACATTTTGCATTCTAAACAAGAGCTAGGCTCCTTGAGATATGAGCAGCTCAATACAAAGCTTGATTTTTTTTGACAATTTGGATGAAGATTGGTGTACAGAACCCTACTTGTTTCTGCAAGTCTCTAAGGACTCCTAAACACTCCATACTGGTGATCAGTACACTGCTTTGGAGTGCTACCTAGTCATGAGCACAAGGAACAGTTCTAAGAAAACCTCACTCATAACAAAATCTAATCTCTTTGAATTTTTTAGAAAAGGTGTTGCAGAAAAAGTAGTATTTTTTTCCAAAGAGATTGGGAAGAAAAATGAAAGTCTTTTCTGATTTTTTCCATTTTTCCAGACCTTCACAATGCTAGTGTCAAGGTAATGTCGAATATATTGTCAAATAAGCCAAATAACTTAAAATGCCAAAATGCTCACAAGTTGTGTTTTTACAGAAGATGTTGAAACCAATTATTTCAACTTATCTTGTGTGACTTTGGGAGCCTTAAGAATTTTCAATCCTCAAAAAGCTGAGGGACTCCTAAACTGCAAGTCCAGAGGAGATGCCTGGGGTGGAGTCTTGCCCGGTTAACTGGGAACGGTTTGAATCTGTTGGACCTGAGGAAGTGGACAGGGTCCTTCGAGCTGTGAGCTTAGCCACCTGCTCCCTAAATCCATGCCCCTCCTGGCTTGTGAAAGCAGCCCGGGCAGTGTCATGTGAGTGAGCTCAAGCAGTGATTATTTCTTATTTGAGGGAGGGGGTTGTTCCATTGCCTCTCAAAGAGGCTCTGGCACACCCCCTCTTCAAGAAGCTATTGCTAGATCCCACCATACTGGACAACTTTCATCCAGCATCTAACCTCCCTTTTTTGGGTAAGGTGGTTGAGAAGGTGGTTGCACAACAGCTTCAGAGGGCCTTGGATGAAGCAGATTATCTGGATGCTTTTCAATCTGGATTCAGACTTGTGTATGGGACAGAAACAGCATTGGTCGCACTTCTGGATGATCTCTGGCATGGGCGGGATGGAGTTGTGCATCCATCCTTGTCCTACTTGACCTCTCAGCGGCTTTCAATACCATTGACCATGGTATCCTTCTGGATCAACTCAGGGGATTGCGGGAGGCGGCACTGTGTTGTGCTGGTTCACCTCCTTCCTCCGGGGCTGATTCCAATCGGTGGTGGTTGGGGAGGAGAGATCCTGCCCTCAGCCCCTGTTATGTGGGGTGCCACAGAATTTGGTACTCTCCCCCCCCCATTTAATATCTACATGAGGCTGCTGGGTGAGTTCATCCATCGCCACGGGGTGAGGTATCATCAGTATGCTGATGATACCCAACTATACATTTGCCCCTGGCAAAGTGATGCTGTGGACGCCTTATCCTGATATCTGGAGGCTGTGAGGGTCTGGATGGGGAACAACAGGCTTCAACTGGACCC